TATACTCTATACAGTCCATAATCCTCATTTCTTCTTTATACTATAAAGTAAAAAGGGTTAAGCTATTATTCCTATACATAAAAGACAATCATATGTAAAACGAATCAAATGAGCTCAAACTTGAAATTGTAAAACTTGAAAAGTCGGTCAAAAGAATTTGTTGAATATTTATCCTATTACAGTTTTATTTTATTCGGTTCGACTCTGCTCGATCTTGGTATACAATAGCTACTGAATTATATATTGTAACTAGCTTTCCTCGCGGCTCCGCTCTCATAGTCCACTTTTATACCTGTTTTGATCCTAAAAATCGTACTGTGATGTTAGTCAAACCTCAAGAATTAGACTATTAAATACAAAAACAAACTTACTCTACAGCTCTATTATCTTGGTAAGTATAGATTAATTTAATATTTAATAGCAAAGTTGTCGTTAGCTAGAAATGCCATAACGTGTTCTAATCGATAATTCGTATTGAATGTAGAAAACACTGTGGTCAAAAATGATATTCAATTCTATTGACACATTTTGTTATATCTCGAAAAGACTAGTGTAGTTTTTAACCTAAAAGAATGAATTATTAGATATATAAAATTCAATTGAAAATCATATTATTAAACTTTACGAGGGTATCTTATATAGGGCATAACATAATAATACTGTAATATACAAAGAAAGAAAAATAAACCTGTAGGTAGTGTCGTCTCCATTCTACACGATATTGGCGTAGTCAACTATGCCCAAATGGCACGCCTATAAGTCAAATAAGAACAAAGAACATTGAGAAGTGAACAAACCTGTAAAATTACAAAGTGTTAGTTTTAAAACTATTGTTGAAATGTTTTGTCACTTTGGTAAAAAAATTATTCGCCCTAAAAAACAAACTGCACATAACACGTCGTATTGCGAACGGTTTAAGCGTTCCAAATGCTATCCGCAATCCCATACTATAAAATGAATATTTTCACAGAAATTGTGAATGCAAAAATTTTATTCTTTTAAATACGATTCCGCATTTTACCTTTAAGTGTATTTTTTTCTTTATAAATAGACCTTTTCATATTATTTTACTGGAAGCTCGCCTTATGATGTTTTTTAGTAGCAAGAATAATTTGTGTACTTTATTTTACGTCTACACTACTGTATGCTTCTGTTCTGTGTATACAATTTTTTTTAAATAAAGATTGATATTAATTATAACTTTTAAAGTAAAAATATATACCAACTTGAAAATCCGAAAAGATAGTTTTATTTAAAATGTCAAATATTCGCGTAAATCTAAGAAAGTATTATGTGAACTTCGAAATCATTGAGTGTAATCATTTCACTTTCGTGAGTGTAGCTATTTCTTAAGTATTGTATGGAATCATCATTATCACTAAGTAATAAATAAATGAATAGTAAAAAATAAAACATTTTTAAGAACAAGCTTTTATAGGTTTATTTTCTTTTTTATCAGCATTAAAATAAAAGGTTGTTTTTAAAAATGTTTTTTACTATTAATTTGTTTATGTTTTTTTTTAGTTTCTTATTCAAATCAATTGAATTATAATTCAATACGTATACAAAATATTGTATCTATGCTGTTGACCTCTGAGGAGATCTGACTCTCTTTCTCTCATTTGGAGCCGACCCTGGACGCAGCAGCAGAGACATGGTGGACTTTAGAACGGGCTATAATAATAGAGTGTAGACGCTTGAGAAGTTGCTTCATCTGGAGTCAATGCTAGATGGAGAATCACATTATAACTATTATAAAAAGTCATTGTTATCGGAACTGAAAATGTATAAATTTCAACTTTGTAGAATAAGAGGAAATGGTTCAGTTTAGCTTGCAAGATTGGAGCCATAAGAACGTACTAACTAACAAACATTGCAAGTTAAATAAAAACTTGTAAAATAATTAAAATCTTTTACACAATACAATCACACCCGAATTGAGTATTTCATTATTTAAAGTCGGTCAAAAATAGTATTCATAATAATTCAAATATATTAAACACCTAAATATCAAATAACCATTACTTGAGAATTGGCAACGAGTTCCACCAGCTCGTAATGCCATTTTGCTCGAAGTGGTAACTGAAAGCTTTGATTAATTATATTCATATCATAACGATTCTTATTTTAATTGTATTTCGTAATTTTGTTTTAATTACTAAGTTTAAATGCGATTTGCTTTATAGCGATACAAGTTAAATTGTACATATACTCGTAGTATGAATATAACACTAGCAGAACCCGCGGCTTCGCTCGCGCTAAAACTACAAAAAATCTCTAAAAAGGTAGTTCCTCAACTATCTCGACACCAAAATTCATGCCAATCCGTCACTGCGTTTTGACGTGAAAGAAGGACAAACAAACAAACATACTTTCACATTTATAATATAAGTATGGATTTATAATTTAAAATCTCTAAAAAAAAAAATTCAATTCACATTATATATAATCTTTTGTTTTGTAATGATAAAATGATGGATAACAAGTATATTTTTGTCAGGTTAATCCACTTATATTTCCAATCTGTTAACATATTACATATGGAATAAGAAGGCCTCTTGAAAAATAGTGTTGTACTCGCAAAAGCTTCGTTCACACAGTAATTTCCCTCGGGTGGTAATTAATGTAGATATACTATGTATGGGAGTAAAAATACTATTTTACTTCAAGTCTTTATTCAGAAAACACTTACATACATTGTTAATCGTAGTTGATACATTCAAGATAACATCAATAATTTTATCGAACTCCAATGCTTTTAACCAAATATTTGGTTGTATATTTGGTCGAAACTCATATTGTCTTGGGTCACTCGGACCCGCATAAATCTAAAGTTATTTTAGTTATGTCAATAGAACTATAATACGTAACTGAATACATTTACTGCCTATATTGAATGTACTTCATATTAGTTACGAATAATAAATGGATAAGCTTTGGTTTACGAGGTTTTTATTGATATTTTACGTTCATCTTAAACTAGAAGTTTAAAATTAAAATAAACAAATATACATTTTTATAGTAATTGCGAATACTTCCGACTGAATCGCAAAAGGAAATGCTGTCTCACAATAAAGTGTAAAACGTTTTATAAAATCAGTCATATTGTTAAAATTTATAGCTTATTAACCATATAAAAGAGTGTAATCGTAAAGTTTCGCTTCTACATGAGATATATAAATAAGTATATCATAGGACAGCATTTCGATTTTTTAAATCTGATGAACGGTATTAAGTATTTCGATATGATTTTTTTTCAGTCGCATCTAGGGATTTCATTTCAAATTATTTTATAATTAACTTATAATAACTTATGAAAAATATTTACATTAACTGTATCAGGCAGATTACACATTGCACGGTCAACTAACGCTCATTTGAAGAAATGTAATATAAATCTATTAACCTTTAATCAGGACATACACTTCATATTATTTTATATTGTAATAATGATAATTTTACTATTTCTTAAGCACATGAATATACTTCTTAGGTTAAGGTAATATTTTAATTGATTTAACAGTGCTATGTGTAATTGCTTTAGTAGTCGCAAATGCACCATAATTTATAAGCACTCCCATCCCTATATACAAATAAAAACATTACTCTTATTCAATCCTTACATAATACTGCAAAATAATACAGTATTATTAAAATCAATATTTAATACTTTAATTTTTTAAGAGATTCTTAAATTTTTTGGTATTCTCTATAGAATATTTGATTTAACAATCGAAACCGAGTTATAATTTCGTAGACTTCAGAGACATCCAACATCCGTAGATTCTTCCTTTTTAAATATAGATACTTTATTGTGATATAATAAATTGGAATGTAAAATTATAATACAATAAATAGATAAAATTTAAACAGGTATTTAAAATTTTATTACCAAAAGGCACTACTGACATAAAATAGATTTTAATTTTTATACATAATTAATATAATATAAATAAATATTTTTCTTTCTATAGAAAATAATGTTATAAAAATTAAGAGACAATGTAAAATACAGAAGCTTTAAGTTCTTTTTTTTTGGACGCGCTATTCAATATACTTATATTTTTCTTCGAAATTTCATTCCATGTTAATTAAAAATATCATTAAATGCTCATTTTTTAAGTTTCCAAGTTTTGTATGTTTTTAATGTTTTTATAAGAAAACTGTTCATTCATATTTCAAACCAAACTTTTTTAATAAATTCGTCATTTTTAAATGATATTCCACTTTATAACTTAAGTCAAACTTTTCTTATAACTAAAGAAAAATGACAGAGCTCCGTGTGAATATCTATTGATAAGCGTTTTATAGAGGCAGGTGTTAATTTCTCAAGACCCAATATGGAAGTAATTTTGTGACACATTTAATTATCAAGAATAAATAAAGAAAGTCAAAGTTTAATTGACTAGATGGAGAAATACCCATAGAATTCTCCAACTTTTATGTAATATAGCAAAATTTTGTATAAATTGTTGTATATTTTGTCAAAAGAAAGTAAGTGTTAATTAAGAGTTTCACAAAAAAAATATATATATAAGAAAATTTATACAACATTGTCATTACCAATGCTAATGAAAATTTCATCGTTGGCAGTGTCATATACTTTACAACCAAAAATCTGTATTTAAAATCAAACCAAAGTAATAAAAATTTATACTTCAAAAACACATACCTGTTCGTATACAACAGGCCTTTGTAGCATTCATTTTTTTATATAAATTGGTAACTATCTAAACACCTTACTTGTAAATTCCCATATTCATAGAACAATTACACTATATTGGTTAGATATTTAGATGTAATGGACAAAACATTTCTTACTGACACACTAAGTTGTATGACATCAATATAATAAATTCGATGAAAACCGGATGATTTTAATTAAAATGTGTACTAAACTAAGTATAGGTACACACCGATCAATCAAACAAAATTTCGGAAACTACCAAAACGGGTTGCGGGTTACCTAAAAAGGTCAATGAATTATTTATAAGTTTTTAATTTTCTAAAATCCTGGCGAAGAGGAAGGAGAAGATTAAGGTGAGAGTATAAAAACAAGTAGTGGCGGCGCTACCAGTGGCTCTAATATCACTTTCGAGTACAAAAGGCTCGTCAATAACGTGAATAATTCCATTGGTGCATTCCACGTCTGGTCGGAACACATGAATCCAACGCCCGTTCCATTCTACGTAGTAATCTGTTGAAGTAAAAATGAAATGATAACACTTATTTTACCTAAAATACTCCATATCACGTTTATTTCACACTTTTCATGTGTGGAGGACTCAGATAATACATATTAAATATTATAAGAAAAAAATATAATCTGCCCCGAGTAGAATTCGAACTTATGACTACAAGTACAAGTAAAGTACTAGGTACATATGACATCTATATAAGCAATTATTATTCAAACAATTAATTGAATGAATTATAATCATTAATAAATAAATTATTTGAAAACTTTATATCATTTACCCTACTGCAGGAACGGAGTGTTATGTTTTCAGGGTAAATGTATGTGTGCACGTTTCATTATTCTAGATTCTACATAATATTTTGAACCGATTTGGATGTAACCGACATAAATTATTAGGCTAAATAGGAGTGGCTTTATGATGTTATAATTTTATACTACAATAATTAATTATCTTATGAATGACTAGCGACTCACCCTCGCTTCGCTCGTGTTCGTCCCTAGCTTGCTTTCCAATACAAACTTTCGTCCCCATTTTCACTCCCATATGGGATGATTTCCGGGATAAAAAGTATCCTATGTACTTTCCAGAGTCTCAAACTATCTTATTACCAAATTTCATCTAAATCGATCAGTAGATCCAGAGATTACCCCCTACAACCTCACAAACTCACAAACTTTACCTCTTTATAATATTAGTATAGATTTGAAGTAAAAATAAATAATATCTCACTTTTGTCAGACTCCTTGACGCGTAATCTGAGAGGATCGCGGGAGGTCGGTAGAACGAAAGGATGAGTTTCATTGGCCAATAGCTTAAGGTCGGATACGGTGTAGGCGCGGGCAGCTCGGATTATGTGCCTCTCTAGTATCTGTTTCGTCTGAAAATTGAAATTATTTTTAAAGAAGCATGTTTATTTATTAAAAGTTCTATTTCTACTTCAGATTATTAATGCTTTTATCATTTTAGCTGAGATATTAATTATATTTTAATTTGTTATTTAGAAATTCAAAGGTTTACCTACAAATTTTGATCAAAGAGAAAAAAATATTTTATTCAACTGTAACAATATTTTTAAATCATCGCCAATATTTATATACATTTACTGTATAATTTTGCGATTGCACGTAACATTGTGAATGCATACTCACGTAGTAACCAAAGTCCTCTTTAAATAAAGCATTGTAGGCAGAGGGATGTTTTAATTGAAATTTGTACCAAGCGTGATCCCGTGGTACGAAGTAAGTGTAGCGGTGCTCCATGTCGCTCAGTTGGTGGTTGAACATCTGTCGCTTGCCGAGATTGTATGTGATGCTGCAAATCAAATCGTGTTTAGAATGCAAATTTCGCACAAATTATAATATATCGATATTTAATTACGCTATGACATTAATTGAAGACATCAAATCGATAAATTGCTATTAGTTTGAGTTAGAATTGAAATCCTATCTCACATTGAAAATGTACCAATATTTTTGTGCCAATAAGAAGTAACTTTAGTTTAATTGACACGAAAGAGTCGATGCATTTATCTTTTTGTTTTGAAATATTGATATTTAAATATCTCTAACCGAATGTTTAGCAATTCAGCTTAATAAAAGTAGTATGTAGTATAAATATAGGTTTATTTTAATTATTTTGCGTATTTATTAAATGTAATACCTATATTAACTTTTGTCGCTGTTTTTATCAATAATGCTCGACAACTATTAAAACTAACCACATACTTAATTACTATAGCCGTGTCATATGAAATTCTCATTTAAAGAAATTAATGTTTTTGAAAACAATTTTCTTAATAAACAGCTTTTACAGCTATTAAACGAAATGAACAAATTTTTATGACATAAGTATGTTAAATATAAAAAATAATAATAATTCAATAACAAGATTGAGAAAGCACACATCTCTCTTCAGTTACCTGTCTCGAGATAAAGCTCGATGAGTGTACTTTATAGTACACGTTTTATGTCTTTTTTACTACTCCATATTTCATGTGAAGGCAAAGCATTGAAATTACTGTCAAACGTAATCACGTACACAACGTCACTCAGCTGGTATTACTCGAAAATTTGTCGCTTGCCAAAATTGAATGCGACGCTTTCATTAAAATCACATTAGAAATGCAAATTTAGAACAAAATCACAATTAGATATTATAATATTGACTTTTAATTGAAAAATTCAAATAAAGCTATTATTAGATTAATGCTAATATAATATAACGATAAACTCGTTTTACGATAAATTTACGAAATTAACACTTTATACGTCTATATGGTCACTCTGCTTACCTTTTTCCAATTTTTTTTTCTAACTATATTTTATTACTTAGTAACATAACATTCTATATAAAAGAGTTTTTTTCATAGGTTACTTCGAAATGAACAAAAAAATAACTTACCATTCTCTGACAGTCATCATACCATAATAATTAAATTTTGTACAGACAATAATTACATAGACTGGCATTGGTTTTTTTTAATTACTAATTTAAAAAAAATATTTTACATGGTACCAATATGACTACAATTATCTATAACGATAAAAGGAAAATTCGTTTCTAAATCAACACAACTACATACTACATATTATGATACTAGCAGAATCCGCGGCTTTCCTCGTGTTAAAACTACAAATAACTAAAAAGTGAGTTTCATAAAAAATTTCATCCCCTATTGTCCTCTTAGGGGTAAAATTTTAGAAAACGCTGAAATACGTAACTCATTATTTTTGCCGTACTCAATTCATACGAAATTTCATGCAAATATGTCCAAGGAATAAAAAATTTCATACAAACTTTTATCCCCTATATCACCCCCTTGGGAGTTGAATTTTGAAAAATCCTTCCTAGTGGATGCTTTCGTCATATGAGGAATACGTGTGCAAAATTTCAATTTTCTAGCCTTAAGAGTTTGGCCTGTGTTGATACATCAATCGATCACTTTTGCCTTATACATAATAATATAGATTACCACTTTTCTTTTACTTACTTGAGCATGGGATCAGTTTTCATTTTTTCGAATACAGTAGTATAAGGGACACCTAGTACCCTGTCAATTATGTGAACGAAACCGTTGGTAGCTGCGATGTTAGTTTGCGTGACTGTTGCATTGACACCTCCGCCTTCGACCGTTAGAGTCAAGTTGTTTCCATGCGTTATTACGTTAAAGTACAAATACTTTCTGGGCAACGCCGTCGGTGCTTGATAGATCTATAAAAAACAAAAAATCTAAATTTCTGACGTTTTACTATACAGAATACAGACGTTAGCAGAAAAGTGCTTGCCGCTTGGCTAATACACAAAGCACATACGATATCTTTTTGGCCAGTTTATTTCACATAGAAATGCCATGCCAGGACAACTATTTCGAGCTTTACTAGGGTTTAATGAATGGTTACACAGTTGTTTTAAAAGGTAGAACATGCAGTCTTCCAACGATGAACAGGAATTACTCGGGTAAATGAAAATAGCATGCCTTGAATTATGAACGGTCATGATACAAATGGTTAAATTAATGAATATATTGGATATGGATAATGTATCGTTTCAACAACAGATTTTGGGTTTTAAATAACGTACTGCGCCAGGGAGCTGTTCCGAGTGGCAGCAAAAGAATAAACAGTATTAAGTGTACCGCTCTCATTTGTAAATACTTCCAATCTGTTGATTATTGTTTACATATATTGTCATTATTTTCGATACATTTATATTAATTTAAGAATAAAAATTGAAATTTTTATAACTTTAGTCTATACTTTATCGTTTCACATAAATAAATATCAATATTTCTAAATATTAGTCTTTCTCTAACGTTGAAATATATATTTTACAGTTTGAGATGTTAATGTAATATCAAAAAAAAAAACAATAAATTAAAACTTGGTTTAAAATTTCCATGATTTAGACTGACCTGATTCATGTTGTTATGCATAATCGCTTCTAAGGGTAATCTCTCGCGTACCAAATGTAAATTTAGTATCTCTTTCAGCTTTTGATGATTCCTGTGGAAAAAATCCATTGTTTTAATTTGAAAATTTTATAAAAGATCGTTCGTTATTGTATAATGGCATTGTGTTATTAGGAATTTCTAATGTGCTGGTGATATGAATTAATTTTAAATACTGGGGCGTTTGTTAAACAAAGGAGAGCTTTGCCGATTGTTGCTTGAAAATTTGATGTTTGTTTCGGTTAGGATAAGGATTACATCAGATCGTTAAGGCATATTGGCCTTAGATTAATCAAAAGGTTAGACTAAATATCTATACATATATAAAAATTGTTACTAAGCAGAATCTGTACATTAAATATTTTACTTATTGAAATAATCATTATTATCGATACAATGGCGGAATCTATAGTTTTTAGAATTTTTGTCTGTCTGTCACAGAAAAACCACTAGAGGGATTTTGATGAAATTTGGTATGATGATAGCTTTATCTGGGTAAACATATAGGATACTTTTTACCGCGGGAAAATGTCTCATTTCTGAGAAAAAATACGAAAACTGCAATGTAAGAGTATAGTAATATGTAAAAGCTAAGAACTTGGTTTTTGGTAACCTGAACGCGGGCGAAGCCGCGGGCAATGCTAGTTAAATTATATACCATTAAATACCTAAAATTCACTTGAGTATAAAAAATGTAATATTTAGAGTTTATATAAAACTAGTACCTAACTGGAATTTGTTTTATGCAAATTGCTTCCTAAATGACTTTTAAAATTGAAAAAAGTAGCTTAAGCTATCTCATTCATAAGCTACCACTGTCTCAAAAAAATAACTTTAATAAGAAAAACAACAAACAGCAAACACACTTTCGCATTAATGAAACTTGTTATATATATTTTCTCTTGTAAACATATTCCACAGAATTTTCATATAGAAATGAAACACAAACAAGTAAATATTTTTATATCTTATAAAAATATTTAATATTTCTTACAATAGAATATAATATCTCAGCGTACCTGTTTTAAGTGTACTTGGGTCTTAGGTATTTTTAAATTATTTTTATTAGCTTTTTTTTCCAAATATTATTGTTTTACCTTTTTTGTAGAGATAGATAGAATTTTGACAATCGTCCATTCTCTGTTTTTCTTATATTAGTAGGTAGGTAGTAGATATGTTCATTTAATGAGAAAATCGATTTTATTAGCACTCCTAGATTAGTTCGTTTTATAAGTAAACTAGGTTGATTCCCCATACAAACTTTCATCCCCATTTTCACCCCCTTAAGGGATGATTTCCGGGATAAAAAGTATCCTATGTCCTTCCCAGGGTCTCAAACTATCTTCTTACCAAACATCTAAAACAGTTCAATAGATCCAGAGATTACCCCCTACGACGTCACAATTCACAAACTTTACCTCTTTATAATATTAGTATAGATTAGCCTACAATAAGCCAATAAGTTTAGGAAAAACTGTGCTCTTGTTTCTTTTTATAAAGCGCAGTGTCGTCTTTTCGCATAATTCATTATTTAGAAAGTAACCACAGTCTAGTGAATCTATTAGATTATAATTAAATAATATTCAGGTTTCGATATCTGATTGGTACCTACTACCTACAAGGTTGGTTCTTACTTTGTTATTCTGCATGGGCAAATGTATTGGTAAAATGCACTACTAACTAACATGCATTGTACGTACATAAAATAAAGTGGAGAATGGAAACTCACCTTTTTTGTGTGTCATTATAATATCTTAGTGTCTTTATTTTTAGTGCAACTATAACTTAGTGAAATACACTAAGTTATAGTGACACTAAACTAGTCATTGTATAGCGATATAAAGATACACATAGAGATCAAATTAAAATCCAAATCCCACTTTATCTACTTTAAACGTATGTAGGTACATAAATAAAAAAACCAAGTTAAAAAATTTCTTTGTGTCACCTTAAAATGTTCTGAACACTGTGCTCTTTCCATGCTTCATTGGATGGTGCAAAAAGCGTGATGTCTTTAGCCATAGTCAGTTCGTTGAGGAACTGGTTGTGCTCGCCCAAGTCCATTATGACCTCATAGAATTTACACAATGGTCCATCTTCTTTTTCCTATGAAAAAAATAATAATAAAATATTTTTTTTTATGACTACATCGGGGTTTAGACAAGATGTCGATCTACAATCCTTAAAGAATAGAAATTTTAAACATGGTATTGAAACGACTTTAATGGTTATGTCGTACATAGTTTTTTGAATTTCTGTCCATCAACAATGATAGTATAACGTCTTGTCTAAGCCCCATGTTTGGATATAGTATTTTTAATTTGTTTTCGGACATCGGACATACCAAATATATAAATTTTATTTGTACACACCACATGTATGTATTTTATGACAAAATTTCTAAATTGGTAGGACTTGGATATATGTATGTTAAGGCAAGAGGTATTTTTATTAGTTATGCTTATATATCTTTACTGTAATTATTGATATTTCATTATATATTAAAAGTTAGGTTTATCAAAACGATTTGTAATTCGTCTTCAAATTTGAAATGAGTATTTTTCATACAGTCATGCATATTATAAGGTAAGGTATTTTTAAAGGAAAATGATTAAGCGAAAAACAAATGTGTCAATAAAATGTTGAAGTAACTTTAACATCTAGTTAATTTCGGAATCTTCTCGTAACTTTTTATTTGTACTGAAGTATATATACATTTCAGAATTTCCGATCAAAGAAGTATTTTAGAACTATATGTATGTATATTTATGTGTAATATTACCTTATGTTCAGAACCAGTACGCTTCTAAAAGAATTAAACTTTATATATAATTTACTCGTATTAATTTGAAATGCTAAGAAAGATTTAAATATGCATTATTAAAAGGACAGCTTTCACTAGAGCAAGGTCAAAAGACAATACCAGATGCAGAGCTAGAACGTATTGTCTTAAGATGAATAGTCAGTCAGCTTTGTTCAGTCCCTCCATGTACCTTTTCTTAGAGACTGCGTTCATTTAGTGCTTTTAAAATCTACGAGATATCTATATCTAGATCTATTAGATATTATGTAATTTTGCTATGACTGATGTAATTCCAATTACTAAGGAATTGCTATATATACAGTTGATGTAATCGATTTCAATTGATGATCTCAATAAAAAAGCGTTGAAAGTCTAAGAAACACAAATATACCAAAACTTATATAGTATAATTTCATTCTATAATCTATGCACTATACTCGTAACTAGATGAATTTTATCTATTAAAAATATGATTTAAAAAATACATCTGTGTTTTAAGTTTTTTTAAGCGAAAGTCTCATACACGTCTTACGCGTTGGTCTGTTAATATCTAATGTTATCTTCAGAGATATCGATCACATACATAGATATTTAAAATTGTAAAGGCACGTTAAGCTTATTCAAAAGACATAACTTATAATCTAATCTTTATTTAAAGACATTTGTAGCATTTGTATATATATATAATATAATGGATATATATATATTTATATATATATATATATATATATATATATCCATATTTTTAATTTCTTTTCGATTAAGAAGTCACTGTATGACATCGACGCCTTACTTTCTACAATCTATATTGGTATACTGATTAGCATGCATAAAAATACTTACAATTCCCTAGAGTTGTGAAATTTCATGCAGGATCCATGATAAGGAGGCACAAACACATAAAATAGTATAATATATATAAATAATTGTTTTATATATATATATATGAATTAGATAATTATCAATATGAATATATGTATTACATATCTTTAATATATTGCTATACTACAGGTATCAATTTTTCAAACCTTAACAGTTAAAAATTGGTCTAAAATGAGTTTTTAAGAGACAAAGATACTTACACAATAGAATCCAGTACTAATAAGTTAAAATTAATATTCACATGCACTTCCAAATACTTTAAGATACCTCTTAATATATTCTAAGTACAAACTATAATACAGTAACTTATCTTTTACTATTATGTAAAATGGATTGATGTAAGAAATCCAAATTAAAATATATGTAATAATATTATGTATAAAAAGTGTTGTAACACTAAAAAAAAAGTAATAATTAGAAATAATTTGGAAAAACGTAACGAGTAGTTTAAATCTCGGTATTAATGAATTTATTCTCATAAAATTCATACTTACGTTGCCTAAGTAAACATCGTGCACCTTACCTTTCTAAAAGCAGGCTTTAAAACTCTCAAAAACAAATCGATTACGTCATAAAAATAAATATGAAAATGATTTCAAACGTGTCAAAAGTGTCCGAAATGAGGAATAATTTACTTACAATATTAAAAATTTGTATGAAAACTGTTAAACGTGCTCCAGTTATTATGAAATATAACCATATGAATGGACACTCACATGAATATAATAAAATAAATATAATTCACGACATTTTACCTTTCTCATCTGCTTTCCGAGAAAATGGGGCAAAAATTAATGAAATATTTCAAAATACAGTTTTTTTTTCAATTGCAGTCAAAATTATTTACCTTATAATCAACTTTAGTAAACATAATTCATGTAAGACTAATTAATGTGCGGTATGTAAATAGATACAAAATTTTATAGTCTAATGTGGAAAGGCAAATTAGTTTATAACTCTATATTTTCATTCACACAGGCAGTATATAAGTCATCTTTAACTATTCAGGGTTTATCATACTCATTCAATTCAACATGTGTATAAAGATGGATACAGTGTGCCAAGTGTAAACTAAAACCTACCGGATTTTAATAAGTGTCTTTATTTAAACTTTAGTAGCAGTATTCCTACAGTTTATAGAATGATGAAATGAAATTAAAAGACGTCAAATGTAAGCTTACCTTAAGAAAATCGACGACAGTGGTATCTACAACCATCAAGGGCCTCTGTATGAGATGGACTACACCGTTTTTAACGGGTATATTCGCTCTTACGATGTCTGCAAGGACTACACCTCGAGCGTGTTTCGCATCCCCGGACACTGTGTTTGATTTCACGTAAGCTATGGGACAGAAAAAAAAACAAGAAATTGTGTTTTAAATTTATTTTAGAATGTTGTAAATTGTTATGAAAAAAATCAGGATTAACTACAGAACTTGGCACCCATTTAGATCTTAATTCTTTTGTCAGTGACGTTGACAACCACGAATATATGAACTTGGCTCCAATTTTCACATTTATGTTTTTGATGGGATAACATAAACAAATAGGTACTAAATTTGATTTAAATGTCGTATTATTTAATAAAATTATACTTGGATAGACCTTTGCTCAGCATATTCATTATTATTACATTTAAATGAAATTACGAATTTTGGCCCAAGTGTCCTTCAGACACGTAACTAACGAATTAGTCACGAATACCGGTGTTAATTTATAAATATACGTATGTTTATGGTAATTTTATTCAATATTTGTTTTTACCCATAAAAATTAAGTTTAGTGTAGCTTTTTGAAAGAATTTTAAGAATCGAGGAATAAACTATTTTGTAAAAATTGATAATCCTGTCTGTACATGGAAGATATTTGAGGAAAAATATTATTGGGGGTCTTTATTAACGCAATAGAACCCAAAACAATAATTTTAAAAATTTTCGTCTGTGCGTTTGTACGTTTGAAATCTCAGAAACGGCTTAACCAGTTTAGGTGCGGTTTTCACTAATATATTTTGGTAAGTCTTACTTATTGGTAGTATTTGTTTTATTTCAATCGGTTCATAATTTAAAAAAGTTATGTCAATTTAAAGAATCACCTAGGGACGAACCCAAGCGAAGCGATGGTGAGTCGCTAGTAGAATAATAGGTTTTTGAATATAAAACAGACAGATAATTTCGCAATAGGTATATAATTTAAACAATATTATATGAATAAAAAAATGTATTATTTTAATAATGTAAATACAAATTGTATGCATTTTATTAGTTTCTTTTTGTTTAATAAATGTTAATCCTAAGGAGATTCGAGTGAACGAAGATAAACGAAGCGTGCTGAATTTCTTTAAAGCTTTTAAAACTTAGCCTTATAAATATTTAAGTGAATCGTGTGCTATTAAAATAATTTGTTTATTTTAGTTTTTTAAGTAAATGTAAGATAAATGAAAAAAATATATTATTCTTTCATATATTTTTATTTCAATATTGCATTACAAATTTACTAATTTTATCTAACAGATTTGTTTATATTTTTAAAGAGATTGTATAGAATATTGGTCCAAAAGTGCTACAGAAATAAATTAAAGAAGACTCGATCGCTAAGTAAACTGAAGCTATTTGAATGATTTCATAAAGAAGAACTTAGTTCGAAAAGTATATGATATACATAGGTAATTGGTGTGCAGAGGAATTGTAAGGGATATCAACGTATGTTTGAACAGGCTTGTTATCGACTCTGCTAACAATTTCAATAAGCGTTAAACAAACATAACCAAATATTAAGCAAGTGTTATTGAAGTTTCTGAATGTAAAGGAACAGTTAGAAGGTATTGTTGTAATTTACCTTTAACATATCGTGATCTAATAGATGATTTTCTATAAACTATTTGTGATTAAAAGGTTCTGCTTTACTTGAAGTTTATCTTTTAGTATATTATCTGTTACTTTGATCATACAACAAGCGTATAATATTTAACAAGCGTGTTTTATGTGTAATCTCTGCCTCTAAGTGTCGTAACATGATATCAGTTTACCTAATCTTCCTCAATAAATAGGCTATAAAAAGCAAAAATATATTTTTCAAATCAGATTGGTAGTTTCAGAGATTAGCGCGTTTAAACAAACAAAGAAATAAGCTCTTCAGCTTTATATTTTAGTAAAGAGTATAAATATCAATGATTTAACATAGTGTAAAATAACATTTTTATACTTATTACTTAGTTGGATTATGATATTAATTTTCTCTCAAGGTGTAATCGTGATAAAGACCATCGTAGGACGGCTGGATGAGTACAAATATCATCATAATGTGTCCCGTCTTAAGTGACTTCTTGCTATAAGTCAATATATTACAAAAAGTACTTGGTATATCGGGATATAGAGTAACTTGTGCGACATAGACCCTAAACATTTCCTACGCAAAAACAATGGATGCACTATGTTTTGTTGCTTCTTAAAACAAGGGTATATATTAAGCACACACTTATATGAAAAATAATTTTAATTCATTTTTAAGATACTAAAGAACCAACTTTCTATTTTGACATAGTTAAAAGAGGTAGAATAAAACTACTAGTATAGAATACATTTAAAAACTTTTTGTAACTTGAACCGTTTCACGATGTAACTTTGTTTTGAATATAAAAGCAAAAAACTTTGACGTTTTCCAAACGCCGGGCGCAATAAAGACCTAGAACGAAACGCATACCGAAAAAACACATAAAATCCCTTTAAAATGGCTATTTATTTACATTTAAGGAAGACTGATATAATAAATTAGAATATTTCTACAATATTCTCATTTTATACTCTTTGTATTAATATTGCTTGTATGTTGGATATGTAAATACTAATTCAAAAGTTTTCATGTTGGAACGGAAACATCAAATACTGCTCTTATAACAATTTTCATATAGCTTAGATAAATACTTTTCTTACTCAAATATTAGATCTTTGTTTGTTTTTTTAGTGTATTTTCAGAAATATCTGACACGAATGTAAGTTAGTAATAAAATATGAATATTCTATACTTTAAAAATGTGTGGAACATTTATGCTTATATAATAACTAGCGACTCACCCTCATTTCGCTCGGATTCGTCTCTAGCTTGCTTCCCAAAACAAACTTTAATCCCCATTTTCACACCCTTAAGGGATGATTTCTGGGATAAAAAGTATTCTCTGTCCTTCCCAGGGTCCCAAACTATCTTTTTACCAAATTTCATCTAAATCGGTTCTGTAGATCCAGAGATTACCGCCTACAACCTCACAAACTTTACCTCTTTATAATATTAGTATAGATTTAGTTTTACTTAGTGTTACTTTTTCCTTTTTCCCTTCGATACGACGGGGATCATATAACACCACGATGGCCTAATGCGGGTGATGGACTTCACTCGTCTTACGAAAACTAATTAGGTACACTCAGACTTTCAGGCTTTCTCTTGACGTTTTTCTTTTTCGTATTAGTAAGTAGTTATCAAGTTACAAATTATTCGCTCATGAACATCTCAGATCGGTCTAACACTGTTTACACTGTTACTAAAATAACATTTTTCGTAATTTAATTATTAACTTCATAAGAAATATAAATAGGTACTAAAAGATATTTATTATAAAGCAAATATATACTTATTTTCTTCAAATTTCACGATTTTTGGGCCAAAAAGTGCTGAAGGATATTTTTTATTGCGGTACATAAAATTGTTCCCGCACGATGCAAAAAGTTACTGTTACTTGTAAATAAAGACAATAAATAAATTATAAAAATAAATGACATAAACAAATGTTTATTTATTTATTAATTAATTTTTTATTTGAATATTTACTTTATTTTTGTATTTAAAATATTTTTGTTATGTAACGGTCACGTTGAAAGCTTATCTAGTTTAAGTAATGTATTATCCTATTAATATTATAAATGCGAAAGTATGGATGGATGTTTCTTATTCAATCACGCCAGAAGGCTAAAAGGATCTGGACGAAATTTGGCACAAAGATAGATTATAGTTTGGAATGGCACATAAATTATTTTTTATTTTGGAAAAATGTATGGTTTCTGTGGGATACTTTTGTTTTTAATTGTTGTTGTTTAAATTATAAATGCTGAAACTTGGTTTTATCAAATAGGTTTTTTCATATTTTGAGGAGATCGTATATAATGTTGAATTATACAAATAAACGATATTAATTTACTAATAATATGTATGTACTTACTAATTTCTTCTTTGCCATTATCGCTGGTGGTGAAGGAGATGATGACCTTTACATTGTCACTAAAGGCCATGCTGTTGAACTGCTTGGTGTCAGGAGTAGCTTGTGTGAACAGTACGTGATGAGGGATCACGTGTCCGTCTACGACTTTCGCGTCGATCAGATCTGACCGGGTTGTTGGCTATTTAAAATGAATAATAATGTCATTAATTAATTTATTTCTTAAAAAATAGTACAATATATGTAATATATAGTTGTCTTATAAAGGGAAATGATCTTGCTAATAGATATTAAAAGTTTTTTAATATATACAAATCCATTTATTATGCCCTTAAAATGGGGAATCCCACTAAAAAATCAAGTCACAATAAACAACAACAAAAGCTAGTCTAAAAATAAAATATTGTGAATAGAAAGAACATCTAACGCTACATTTTAATAACAAGCCAGCATGTTTGCAGTCATATTACATTTGAAAAATATTTATTTTAACTGTTTCTACTGAAACGCTGATAGTTGCTAACTTCTATAATATATGTATGTATATTTACTTATGTTTTTGATATAAATGGGCAAACAGTTATAATATGTAGATACATATTTGGAGTTTCCTAAGTATATAAATTAATGTCGTTAGATATATTTCGTCTTTTGGCCCGATTCGATTAATTTTCCTATTCTCGAAATGAAACTGTCAAATTTTTTAAAACTATATAATCACGTATTTGTATATAGTGTATTATGAAAAAAATATTTAATGTTGTATTTACCAAAATAGTTAATGCATATTGAATTTAAGCCACTCTATTGGATATAGATCCTATATTACCTATATCTATATTACAAATTAATTCAGGCGTTTTCATTGGTGCATGTAGGATCAAATATGTAGTTATTAGATAGGAAGAAAAATGTTCTAAAATTATTGTGTTAATCCAAAATATCCAATAGAATATTTTCTTAGATTTGCGCGAATATTTAAGATAAATAATTATTAGACTATCTTTTTGGATTTTTGGTTTTCGATGTTTTGAATGCTTTACAGCAATCATGGGCACGGGAGGGACACGGTCTCTCCCGAAAACATCTGAAGAGATAATTTTATTAAAATATCTAACAGTATATAAAAAATATATTGAACATACATAAATACCAGCTTTGTCAATATTTTATATGTACTATATACATTGCTCAACAGTTTTCGATTTAAATAGTCAAAGTACCTACTTATTTACTCGATAAGAATAGCGTAAGTTATGTATTAACACACACGTAATTGTTGCTAAGAAATACTTTAGTTCTTTAAACTTTTGTAACTAGTTTTATTGTTCTAAACTTCAGTTACCTTGAAGCCCTCGTCGACAGGAATAAAGAACGTGTGTCGCCCGTCCGCATTGAAAACTTCTTTCTTCTGTAGTTGGTTCACTTTTTGGCGGAACGATCTATAATGAAGAATTAGGGTAGTAATTTATCGTTTGCACCGAGTCTATATTTTAGACTGAATGTGGGTTATATTCTAGACTTAATTGCTTAGTAGTTTAGTGGCTTTTATGTGTGGTTGCAGATTCAGAGGTACTGGATTCGAGTCTCGGGTTCAAGTTTAAGAGTGAACGGAAGAGAGGAGTCTACATGTACTTAAACCACTAAATATGAAATTAGCCTTTCTAAGAGTACGTGGAATGATCTGAAGTTGCATCTTGAGATTTATTCGACCGATCAAAATAATGTATTATAATAATATTACGCATATATTTAATTATTCTATTGAATAACAAAAAAACCAGTGATCTTGACTGAATTATTAATTATAGTATACAGAATGGAATAAATGGATGGCACATGAAAGGAAATGAAATAACTACATTTAATATTTTTTTAAGTTTCTCTAAAAAAAAGATTCTCTGAAATATCTGAACTGGTAATCGAACCAACTAAACATACAATAAAATACACTGTCACTATTTTATTAAACTAACCGATAGAGTGATACTATGATAAGGATGAAATCTCTCGAACAAATATTGTATAATAAAATATGTATTGTAAAGGAAACCATGAAATCTTAGAATTTATACATTTCGACTCTAACTTACATCGTGGAACAAACGTAAAAATAAGAATAAATGCATTTCATTGTTTTAAAAGAAGTTATCTGAACCGGTAATCGAACCAACAAAAATGCTAAAAAGTTTAAAAAAAAATTAAATGCAGATATTATTATTTTTTGGAAATACAGCATCTTTCGCTTCATCGCAGTTGGCTAGTCTCAATGAGATTGGCCGCCGTAGCCGGAATCGGTCAGGAGGAGAACATTCATACACATAGGTGCAATTAAGGAAAAAATTACGACTGGAATTGTGTTTTTTAAGGTATTTATAAAGCACAATATTCACAAAAAGTTAAAAAGTAATGAAAGTACAATAACAACCCTCAAGCCCTTGTATTGTATATTTAACAAAGTTTCTGAGCTGTAAGTTTCATAATGTTGAATGTTCTGATTTTCTATTGTTGTAGAACAAGTTATTTTTTATTCAAAGTTTAATAAACACGTAATGGCGTAATCTTAAATGTGAAACTCAGTGGGTTATTTCAATACAAATATAATCCCACTTTTGTGCCAGAATATATTAATCGGTTTTGCGCAGTTGCGTCATAATAAATATTAATGAGATATCTTCTGCGAAGATTTCATTTATGAACAAAAATAAAATATATAATGATCCAAACTTTTACACTTTATTCTTTCATTATAGGTACCTAGTAATTTAAAAAAAAACTTAAAATCTCATCTCCTATATTGCGTTTTCCGGATACCAAAAATTTATTATTACAGAGTCGCTATGTCAGAACACTTCGACCTATCACTGAGTTAGTCGGTATCAAAGTCGTCTTGACTAACATTATAATTGAAATTGGAAGAACGGATAGATGTTTTTTTTATATAAAATGAAAATATATAAATAAATATGTTGTTACATTAACACATAGCAACATCTAGTTCCATGGTGAGCTACGAGACTTGTGTTATGGATACTAGATAGTTGATACAATACACATAAATAACTTTTTTTCATACATACATATTATAAATATATGATAAATATAATATATATGATAAATATCAACCAAACAACTACTGTTATACTCGTACCAATTAACTTAATGTATCTGGATTAGTAAAATATAGATAGGAAAAGAGAAAAATCAAAACTGGTACAAAATATTTTTGTAGACATATTCACTATCCTATATTTAATAGCTGTCAAAGCAATCGTTTCATTTATCAAACCCTCAAACGAATATTTGAGGAGTTTACACATTTTTTCTAAATCTAATTAAAGAATCATTGCTCAACGGACCAACTCGCAATACCTCGACGCAGACAACAGACACAGATTAAACAATTGTAGTAATTACAAATGTTTTACGATTTTCTTTTCATTTCTTATGATTATAAAGTTATAATTATTAGCTTTATCTAATATTATTGTTAATATGAAAGTGAGTTTGTCAGTTTGTACTTTTTTTACGATAGCTAGCTAGAAGCCCTATACCCAATCTTGGATTCTGGGATTCCAATCCCGGACCATTAAACAGTGAAAAAAACATACTTTATCTAATTAAATACATACTTTTTTTTATTAATATATAAGTTAGGATTGGAAATAAATAAAGGTTTTTTATTATTAGTTTTTTAACAGAGCAGTTATTAGCATAATTTTATGTTTAGAAATAATTGAGGGAGTGTATTCAGTAATAAATTTTATTTTTAGCAGATAATATAATAAATTTAAATTTTCTGTCTAAAAGTGACCCAAAATGTTCATAAATCATCTCCCGTATAAACAGAACTCTATAAATATTTTAAATGTCTACCTTATGTTGCGTAGCGGTACTTTTCAGGGCGGCTAGTGGTTACATTTGCCAGAATTGAAAAGCAAAAAAATTTTTTTTTAATACCGCAAAGAATCTTCTCTGTTGGCCATTTGATGACAATTTTATCAAGAGCTGTCTTATATTTGCAATCACCTAGTTGACTTGGTATTTTAGTTTTTATGTTTGTGTGTATTATTTAACATAATATAATACTAATATACCTACTAAGACGATTTTTACATTTATAGAGAGTTTTTAGGGACATTCTAGGGCTGTGCTAAGCATGTTTCTCAAAACAAAATAGCTCTTGAAATATCATGGCAGCTATACACTTTTAAATTTCGAACATACTTTTTAAAAAATAATATGAATTTGTAGTATAAATTCAGTGTAAATATTGCCATTTTTAGAAATGACAAAAATATTTTATCATGTTAAAACCATCTAAACGTTATTGAAGAGAGATGTTAAATTGCTCTATATCAGTATAAAATCACCAACACTAAAATGAATTACATTAATAATTTACATTTAATGCAGGACAAATTATTAGAGTTAAACTATGAATATGTAATACTGTTATCGCACTTGCCCATACCGACTAATTAACTACAAAATTATTATTTTATATATAACCAAAAGGAATCAGGACAAATGAAATTTTATGGGACTAGCAACACACCCTCTCTTCGCTCGAGTTCGTTCCTAGATACGTTTTAACGGTTAGAAATTAGTATGGAATAGATAAACTATATATTAGTAGGTATACAAGTATATACACATATGGGTACGGTGAGTTTTATATCCCTTATCATCAGGAAATTTGTATATTTAAGACAACTTAGCAAATTTTCAAAATACATGTGAAGTCTACCAACTTGCGAAACACTTGGCTAGCGTGGGGAGCCCTTGTATTGAAGAGAGGCCCAGTAGTAGGATCTTATTGCTAATACTTATTAAATGGTATAAACAAATTTTAATATTAAATTTCTAAAAAATGTAAAATAAGAAAAGCAAAACAATCTAGTATTATAAATGAAATTAAATTCATGTAAATATTATTACAGGTTTCACAACCTGCTAACTGCAGTACGTTTCTAAAGTTGTAAGCTAAACAAATCTAAACCTAATTAACTAGTGCTGTACATGTATTTAAAGGCCATGAAAATAAAACCATGTCAATAATAATACAGTAGGCCTTGCATAATAAAAATAACTACTAAAATAAACTTCATAACATAAGTACGTTACTGAAACCTTAAAAGAACTCTACATAAGTTTAAGCTCCTAATGACGTAAAGAATATATATGTTTATAAAGAATATATATGTTTGTTAAGTCTAATACTGTTATGTATTAGACTTAACACAAATTTGTTGAATATCAGATTTTTTTATTGTCAATCTCGTGTGTTTTAAGTATAGCCAATTGTAATATCTCGTAAACAGAGTCTAAGGCTAAGCTGCGTCGGGCATATTTTGTGAAGAGAGGAAAGGAATACTGCACAAGAGGCATTCCAATAGCAGCCTGCCTTTTGAAGAAGACCTGGTCGACCATTTAACACCTGGAGGACATTAAAAGGGTGGAAATCTCGTGGAACCATGACGAAGCAGTAGCTAAAGATGGAAGGGCATGGAAAACTACTGCTAATAAATACTAATTGTTATACATCATCATCATCAGAGTTCCGCACCATATTATTTTTTATATTAGTATGTATGTATTTAAAAATAAAATAATATGTTAATTATATTAAGAAATAATAATATGTTAAAGATATTTAAAAAGACATCTAACTCTACTTATTCATTTTACAAGGCATATTGTACCATGAGTCGTATAAAATTTTTATTTCAAATATAGCAAATGTTTCTACGATGAGTTTGCTAAACCTTTTACAATTATCGATTTCTTTTACAACTAATATTCATTTGTTATTAGGAATGATACTTTGAAGCTTATCTCTCCGCCTGGTATTATTAAACTTTTTTTACTCTTTCACGCAAAAATGCAGTACGGATTTTGATGAAACTTTAGAGTAATATAGTTTTTACATTAGTGTGACACATAAGAAAAAACTGATAAAGATTTACTAATACGTAGTTGAGATTCGTGGGCGGAGCCGAGACGCGCTAGTATTTATAAAGATTCAACTAAAAATTTTAAGTGAAGAATGTGTGTATGTATTTTTGTTACTTCTTACAGCTGGACGGATTTCAATGAAATTTACACTGATGAGACTATGACCTGGATTAACACATATGCACCGACCGAAGCGAGGGTTGAAAGGGCTCACTAGTAATAATATAATTGTCAATTTACAACAAGGACGGATGAAGATAGGAGATTACTGTATGTGGAAAAACACGAAATGCTTTCTAAAAACTTAACATAGTTATATGAAAAGTTTTCTGACTACTTTTTTGGACATATTATGAATGGGACAATTACTCAAGATTTTAGACCAAAATTAATTGAAGATTTGGAGGAGAAGTAAAAAAGTAAAAATGCAGTTCTAAAAAAAATAAATAGTAAATCATAAGCCGATGCTGTTCAATACTGAGAGTAGGTGTTACATGTGATTCTTATAATCATAAAATTTTTGTCTGCCAGTCTGTCTGTCTGACTGTTTTTTCCGGCTAAGCTTCGAAATGGCTAAACTGATTTTGACGAAACTTTTACTGGCAGATAGCTGATATTATAAAGAGTAACTAGGCTATTATTGATTTTAGGTATTTTAAGATTTACATGAACCTTCGAAGTAATAAATAACAAATAGTTAATTTTTATCTTCTGTTACTTGACCTTTCTAACCGCGGTACAAATTGGATCACAAGTATACTTGGCTTCTATAAATAGGGATTATAGGGCTCTTGTCAATGATGATACAATTTGTGTACCTACATATGTATGTACATTGTACATATTATATCACCTGCAAAACAGAAATTTGGAATTTGGACTTACAGTATACTATAACAAAGATAATAATTACTATTTATAAACTTTTATTTAACTCACAATGTTTGTTGGTTGGTATATTTGTATAGGTCACATCTTGTAAGCTGAATTAGAACAACTTCTTACTCTCTAGATTTGTACATATATATATATATATATATATATATATATATATATATATATATATATATATATATATATATATATATATATATATATATAACTTTATTTTGTATATACGCAATCAATTTTTATAGCTTGTTCTAAAGTTCCCATGACTTGACTGCTTCATCCAGGGTTGTTTCCAAATGAGGGATCTCCTCCATGGCACAGATACAAAATTTTGTATATCTAGTCAATTATAACAGCCCGTTCTAAAGTCTATGGTATGTTATGGTAGCCTGAATGCTGCTAGGGTATACACAGATGTCTCCTCAACAGTCAACGATACAGACACGAAATTTTGTATATACGTACGCGTTCAATTAGGATTCAGTTCATTTAAATAATTCACCCACACGATAAATTGTAAATCTTCTCGGTAGAACGAGAATTCGTTAAACGCAGGAATGACATCATGTTCAGAGTCCCAATATGATCTGTAAACTCTGCCAACTTCCCAACTCCGCTCTAAGTACGAGTATTATGACGAAGTTTGGGAGTTTGATTTTAGCACGGGAAAACAATTTCTGTTTGCTAATATAAAAGAATAGCTAATATAATACTTTCTAAGCATCCTGTTTAAAAAAAAATAATTGAAAAAAAAAACAGTATTAGGATAACATCCAAAATCAAAATCAAGTTAGTGGTTTTAATAGTTATTACTTAATAACTTTCGTACATATCATATGCATATTCTAAAGATGAAAATGCGAAAATATATAATTGAAATATTTTTCCATGAATCTTTATATATATAATTCTTCTGTGAGTGTGTATGTCACTGAACTTCTCTCAAACGACTGGACCGATTTTGATGAAATTTTTTGTGTGTGTTCAAGGGGATCTGGGAATGGTTTAGATTCACAATTTGAATAATAATTTTCATCAAAAAAATTATTAAAAAAAGTTTGAAATTTTCAAATTAAAGACGTGTAGACAGGACAACGTCTGTCGGGTCCGCTAGTTTTAATATAATGTATCACAATAGTAAATGTAGAAAACAAATATTTGAATAGTGTTGGTTTTTTACTATAACGGAGCGTTAAAGTGGAAAAATCGTAGTCATAAAAGTTTGCATCAGAGGCGCAACTTACTAGCCTGGAATAACTAAACAGTAAAAATCAACTCGCTCTACTAATATGCTATGCTGTTGAAAAATAAACGGACCAGAAATGAAATTGTTATTTGAATCTTTCAACTTAAAATGTTATTACAATTATATGAATTTCAAAGTTAAAACTTAATGGAATGAATTTAAAATTGTAATGTTGATTTCAGATTATATTATTATATTAGAATAAAACTAGGTTACATCCGTTAGGACAGTTATATCCGTTCCCATGATGAAATCATGTCCTTATCAAACATCGAAAGTTGTTTAGTCATTGAGGCGTAGATTTACAATATTAGTATGGACAGTTTGACATGGTTAGCGTGACTGTTATTCCATGTTAATTTTAGAATCTGGCAGGCGCTTTAGATGGAAGCAAAAAAATATAATAAAAAAAGATTTATTTTTTTATAAATACTAACTATAACAAGAAGAAACCATACAAACCGATAATCTCATTTTTTCGCTTTATTTGAAATAAAATATATTTTCTATACCGCAGATAACCGCGAGTAATAGATTCGAAAAAATCAAACAAAACAATTAATGTATCTAAACTATTTAAAACTGATTTTAAATTTGTTCTGCTTAATAATATGGAAAAATAATAATATATGGACATTTAAATTTCAATTTTTTTTAAATAATACCTTTTTTCAACAATAATTATTATTGAATACCGCTATGTGTTATTTTAATTTTGTCTTTTCTAATTGAATTAAAATCCCTGTAAATATCGCGTAACACATACAAAAGAGCTTAACCAAATTAAAAATCCATCGCCTTTTTGTGAAAGTAGTTCAACATCCAATGCAGGAACACGAAAATACACGAGATAACCTAATTTATGTTTCAAAAAGGACATATCGCCAAAATGCAAAACTGATTGTCAATTCAATAGTAGCACAATGCACAAAAACGTTTCAATTCTACATATCTCGATGAATCCCTCTGTACTCGTGAACGCAGTTGATAGCGTACACTCGTAGAATATTCAGAATAAACTGTTTTAAACCAAATATCTAAACATCCAGTAGCTGCACACTTGAAATAGCCAAGTAAATAATAAATGCTATCACTGTTTATTGCGGTGATGATATTGATGTAGTAAGAAATTATAGACGTCCCAGATTTGAGTTTATCTCAGTGTAAATATTTATATGGACACATGCATGGAACAATATTGTAACTAAGAATTCTATATAACAGAATTAACATCTATTTTAAAATCATCTCAATACTGAGTTATAATGGTGTTCTTAGCTTTTACGCAAAAAACTTTGCTCCCTTGAGTCGGTAAGTCTAACCTAAGGGTCTGCTATTTTCACATTTAAAATGAATATTGACTAAAGGCTTTTACTAGATCTAATCGTAGTTTGTAAGTACTTTTCATTGTTCACTACGATTATTTTTAAAGAACGTAGACCCTATTATCAGAATAACTCTTTGCCATAAAGTTTACTAAATTTCAGTTAAGAAATATGTTATTATTGTTGTTATTTAATATGATAATTTGTACACGTACATTTCATTATTTTATACAATGCGAAATGAACAAATTATCTAAAACAAGGGACAATTCACATAATGAAATGCAATTACGAGTTTTAATGTATTCCATTGAAATATGAACGGTTAGTTTTATTAAAAGCTAAAACGTGTATTACCTGAGGCGATGTTGTCCGATATTGAACACGTCCGAGTGCTCTAGAAACTGGTATGCGTTGGGGTTGTATACAGGTGATCCTACGGAGCTCTGACCTAGGGGAAGAAGAGGCTGCAGCACTTGATCAATCACATGGAGGACCTGGGGAAAAGTGTAATGTTGTTAGTATGTGTTTTATTTTCTATATGTAAAACTAAATAATTATTATTATATTCTTCGAAAAATATGGTAGAGTATTATTTAAGTATATCAAAAGTAAGGTAAAAAGCAAGAAATTAAAATGCATTTTGATGCAACTTTTAAGAAAAGAAGGCCAAAATGTTATTATTATTATTAAAGTGTTTTGTTCGCATGTAAGTGATCATTTCTAAAATTCTTAAACTGATACAATTTTTTTCACTTAAAGCTATACTATATAGATTATGAATAACAATTTATTTAACCGACACACCGAGAATAATTGTACACTCTATTGTAGAACACATTAATTGTAGTATCAAATATATATATATATATATATATATATATATATATATATATATATATATATATATATATATATATATATAAATAAATAATATCTTACTACTTTTTGTGAAAGGACCCTAAATAGCTATTTAATAACGAAGAAGTTTTAAGTACGGAGTAATTTTTGCTGAAATGAGTTTTGTTTTAAACATTAACCTAAACTTACACGTATATAGATACCTCGTGCATTATGGTTGTTGAAAACAAGTTTCATTCGTCGGAGATGCATAATAAGCTCTGGGGTAAATAACTTCAGGGCAAGAACTACTTTATTAATCTTTGCTTTAAAATACTGAGAGTGCTTTCCGTTATATTATATTACATAACACTAATTTATTTTATAACATAGGTTGCTTCTCCATAAAAACTTTCATCCCCATTTTATCCCCTTAAAGGATGATTTCCAGGATATAAACTATCCTAGGTCCTTTCTAGGGTCTCAAGTTACCAAAGATCTAAATCGGTTCAGTAGTTTCGGAGCTATTCGGTACGAACAAACAAACAAAAAACAAATCGTTCCTCTTTATAAAATTGAGTATAAATAAAAAGAGGTAAAAATCGTAAGTTTGTTAGAGTGGTTATTTCTGAAACTACTGATTTGACTACTACTGATTCTAAAAATTGTTACACTAATAGAGAGCTGCATTATCGCTGAGTGCTACAGGATTTTTTCTTTGCGATAAAATTTTGGTTACTGTCCTATATAAATGTGAAAGTTTGTGATTATGGATGTATGTTTGTTACACTTTCACGCCAGAACGGCTGAACGGATCTGGATGAAATTTTGCACAGAGATAGATTATAGTCTGGAATAACACATAGACTACTTTTATCCCGGAAAAATGTACGGTTCCCGTGGGATAGGTTTGTTTTTGTTTTCCAAGAGGCGAACCCGAGCGAACAAAGGGTAAGTCGCTAGATATTTTATATTATTTGTATATTATTATACAGATATTGGTATAACGAAAAATGGACTATTAAAGAGAATATATTACATTTTTTAAAGAATTTTGCTCAAATTTAGCTTATAACATATTAGTGTCTTATATTTATTTTAAAGAACTTTATGAACTTTACGTAATATAATACATAACATTCATTTCGTATTATTAAAACTTTTTAATTACTTAAAGTTATTGATTATTAAAAGCTTTTAAATTCATTTCATAGGACAGTCATTGTAATATATTAATTTATCAATATTGGTAAAAGTTTTAGATTGATTGAATTGTTTGAACAAAACTTTTTGTTGTAAGATGTGTTTTTGAATTCAAAAGAAAACCAATACAAATTCTAACTTTTCGATCATAATTTAGCAGTCAAAGTGTCACTTTGTTTGGAAAATGTCCTCATTTGTAGAAAGATTAATATATTTATTAATCCATTTCTGTCTCTTGTAATAAAATAGTATTTTATTACTTTTAAATCATTTTCTATACGGATATACGACTATATACTTATAAAGGCAATGCTTTACAATATTATAATCAATTTATATCTGTTTTTAGTAATTATTAAATAAGTTGCATTAAATATCCTACTAATATATAAATGCGAAAGTTTGTGAGGATGTATAAATGTCTGAATATTTGTTACTCTTTCACGCAAAAACTACTGAATCGATTTTAATGAAATTTTACAATAATATAGCTCATACATCAGAAGAACACATAGGTTATTATTTTATGCCGGAAAAATGTACGGTTCCCGTGGGAAAGATATGTCTGTGTTTTAGTTTATTGCTAGTAAAACTTGTAAAAAAATCGATCATTTATACTTTTCTGCCTTATTAGTATAATGGATTGAAATTGATATGCTACGTAATATCGCCTACAGGAAGTTAAAACACGAAACCTTTTTGAGATAAAATATATGCATCGATGTTAAAGTACCTTCAAATTACTGTATCGGATATGAATTTTCATTTCCATATTGATTTAATTATTTCAATCATCGTTGTTTAATATCGTTGATGCCTTTACCTTTTCCTTTTAATATTTCTCACAAAAGAGAGGCTTGAAACGCTCGAAATTAATTTTGTTGTCAGTTTTTTTCAATTTTCAATTATATTTCTATTCATTTTAACTGTCATTGTAATGATATCTAATATTATATTACCTACTAGCATTGCCCGCTGCTCCGCCCACGTTTAGATGACCAAAAACTATATATATATATATATATAATATTATATATATATATATATATATATATATATATATATAATATTATATATATATATATATATATATATATATATATATATATATATATATATAATATTTTTAACATTTTTAAGTAGATCATTTCATTATTTCAATACATTATCATTAAAAAGGGCATATAAAACTTTTTCTAATTACCTGTAACTTGCCATTTTCATTGACTGCCTGATATGACCTCGAGATGTCAACTTTGGCATTGTTCACGTAAATATCGTCGTGCATGGCGTCACGACGTCGCGTTATCCATAGAGGTGGGTTGCCATCGAGCTCCGATGATATTGAGAAATCCAGGTTAGTTAGAGTCGTTGCCAAATTCGCTGTAAACAATAAAGAAAAGGTTATAGGAAAATTCTAGTGTTTTTAAAACTCTACATATTTTATACCAGCGACTCACACTCGCTTCGCTCGGGTTCGTCCCTAGCTTGATTCCTCATACAAACTTTCATCCCCATATTCACTCCCTTAAAGGATGATTTCCGGGATAAAAAGTATCCTATGTCCTTCCCAGGGTCTCAAACTATCTTCATAGTAAATTTCATCTAAATCGGTTCAGTAAATCCAGAGATTACCTCCTACAACGTCACAAACTCAGAAACTCACAAACTTTACTGGTTAATAATATTAGTATAGATTATGTTCATGACATATTCCTAGAGGGGTAAATAGGGAAAGAGAATAAATAACCAAGAGATAGTATCTCAATATAACCTAAAACAAAGCAAAAATATACGAGTATGCTTTGAATCTTTTCAAATCATTATGACTAAATATTTGTTTTATCAAAGCACATGGATGTGATATGAATTCATATAGGTGAAAGTATAAAAGGATGTATCTATGAAGTTTTTATTCTGTCCGAATAGCTCGATAGAGTAATAAAGTATTATATTGTCAATTTCACATACATACTGAAAATTTAAAGTCGGTATAAAAGTTAAAAAACTAAAATCAATTTCGAAGATTTAGATATATAGTAAGAGAGTTACAAGTGAAATTAGTAAAAGCGTTTTAAAAATAGCTATATTTCATTGAAGTAGATCGAAAGAGTATATAATCCAATTTACAGTACTAAATTCCATACAAAGTGTTACCTTAGCCACTAAATAGAAAAAAAAACATAATTCTTTTTTAGATTTAAGATAGAAAAGATAGTTTTATGAAAAATAACCATCCAGCAAAGCAGAATATTATTTGTTCTTTAGAAAAAAAAAACTTTTGTTTTTTATAAAAGCTTATAAAATAATTGCTTTGTCAAATACAGCGGAACAAGAGTTAACCATAACTACCTCTGACTTTATAAAGTGAAATTGTTATAAAGACCAGGGAAGTTTGTTTGACCACAGAACTTTCTTACAATGAGGCCTGCGTAAAAGCTTTATTGCGAATGGTACACTAACATCGAAACTAATCTCAAGTCACTTGAATTAGTTTAGATTAATTAAGATAATGCCTTTAATATTGTTTGAATATATAATATTCAAAAACAGCCTTTTGGTATCAGTACTAATGAATAAAGTTTAAGTTTGTTTTTTTGTGCGTGAAGCTTGTTTGAGCGTGTTAATTACTGGAACCTCTAAATCGATTTTAAAAATCTTTTTTGTAACTTAAAGCTATTAAATTTGGGATTATAGTCTATTCGTCATCACGTCAAGACTCTTAGGAGTAGAGAAATTATATACATATGTATGTCTATAAATAAATGATGTCGCAAGCAAATTAGTAAGTAACATTGATACTTGTGCTTATTTCTGTAGATGACTAAAGGATAATCTATCTTTTTTTATCTGACTGCGCGATGCAAAGGAGGGTAATGTGCCTATGTATGCGTTTGTACCTTTGGCACTATTTAGACTAAACGCGTAGGCAGATTTTAATAAATGATACGTCGTATGTTTCGTCATGATGGCGCGAATGTCATAGAAAGCATACAAATTTGGAAAAAGCAAAATGGCCAATTGTGGACGCCATAATGTGAAAAAGAAAAAAATGAAAATCGACGAACAATATCAAGTGGGGTATTGTTGATAGGTATTTAAAAATGATTTTTAGGTTTCTGTTATCATTTTTCATTTTAAATAACAGTTTATGATATATAATGATTTAAAGTTGGTTAACAACCATTCTCGCTAATTTTCCTACTTATTAAAATTACTTAAATAATAAAAATATATACAACTTATATGTTTAAAAGTAATTTATTAATTTTTCTGACTAGTGAAGGAACCTATCGTATTCCCGCGAATCTAACATACTTTTTTATGGAGGTAATGTCAAATTATTATATAGAAAACCTAAAATTGATAGATTTATTGAGATCCGCTGTAAATGTACGAGTATTTTTATTCTTAAATTTTTATACGTTTATATTTTATTTTTAAAAGGCAGTGGTAGCCCAGTGGTAACGCGCTCGCTTGAGAAACCGAGTGAAGCGGGTTTAAATCCCGGGTCTCGCACCTCTGATATTTTCATGTGCGAATCATTTCTAACATGATTACCACTTGCCTTACGGTGAAGGAAAACATCGTGAGGAAACCTGCATGTCTGAGAGAACTTAGCAAGTTTTCTAAAGACATGTGAATTCCGCCAACCCGCACTTGGCCAGCGTGGTGGACTATGGCCTGATTCCCCTCGTACTGAAGGGAGGCCCGTGCCCAGCAGTGGGACGATAAAAAGGGCTGAATACACACTATGGCACTTTTCGGTTATTATAATATTATTATTTAATCATAGTCAGTGACTTATCCTTGCTTCGCTGGGATGCGTCCCTAGGTATAATTTTGTTCACAATTTCATGGGTTTAATTTTTTTGATCAGAACCCTGATTCTTTTTCAAAAATAAATATTGCGCTACTCCTTATAACATCAGCTATCTGCCAGTGAAGAACCCGTCAAAATCGGTCCAGCTATTTTTGGGATTAACCGGAACAAACAGAAAGATAGACAGACGGATAAAATTAAAAAAAAATTTTTTTTCTTATTAGTAACCTTACAAAATTTTCATATATGTATTAATTAAAAAGCTGTTATTTTGACTTACAAACGGACACTTCTATTTTATTTATCTTTATAGATAAAAGAAAATCATTTTATTTCTCTTCAAACTAATACAGTTGCGAGGTAGAATATACGCCGTTTTTTTCCGTGTTTACCTAGATTTTAGGACAATATATTCTGGGTTCTAATGTCACACAAATATTTAAGCGTCCAAGTTACCAGGTGTTGGGGTCGTATTTGTACGATTGAATAGATGAAGTCAATGTGGAATAAAGCTAAAAAAATCTATCTGTACAATTATTAAAAAAGATGTAGAGTGTGCATTAAATATTTATTGCTAATTTTTTTATACTGTATCTAATGTTATTGTTTATTCTTGTAAAATAAGTAGTTATATTTTTTTTTTATTTTGTCTAAACACATGTGTTAAGACATGCCATGGCATGTGCTTGATTATAAAGATTATTTAAGTGTATCTTTTTTTTCTTTTTGTTAAGTTTAGTTTAAAGTAAAAACATAGTTATGAATGTATGTATGTATTCGACTCTTTAACGTCCCACTGCTCGGCAAGGGCTCAATGCGATGCGACTTGAATTACCCATATTGTAAACGTTTAAATGGTCCAGCTTAGTACAGCGCACGGATGAAGCCGAAATAAATATCTAGTGTATAAAAATAACTTACATATATGAAAAAGAACTAGTGATTCGTCCTTTTCTCCACTAAACCTCTGGAACGCCTCGTTGGTGGGTGCGAATAGTGTCATCTGCCTATGTTGAAGACTCGTATTTGCTACTACATTACGTTTTAGTAGCGAGTAGAACTGTGAACAAGAGATAAACAATAATTAATTATTAATTAGTTTAAATCATGTAAAGAAAATAATTTGTAATTCTATAGTTTTTACATAAATATAATATATATAATATACCAACCAAAATTTTAGCTTTTTGTTGGTACATTATTATGGAAATATAATCTAATTATAACAATTATATAATTATTATAAATAACTTTTTGTTTTTTATTTACAAGTAGGTCGGTATATCTTAAAAAAAATCAAATAATTTTATCCATATTGTATACATATGATTATATTATCTATATATATCGGTAGGTGTATTTTATTAGTACCTACGGGAATCGAACCCAAACAATGTTTAATACATTTGGTTTCCCTGTAACATTTTTAAAGGTAATCCGCTCAAATTAAGCTATATTAAGCATCTAAGTAGCTATCGTTCGCAGCTGTGCGTAAAACTTCAGTTGCCTTCATTATAACTTTCACTTTATAACTCATCCTGTTAAAGTTGTACAACACTGAACATTATCATGTACCATATTCTCCAAAATTCAAAACTTATTAGTTTTAACGACGTATAAAGAAAATATATAATACTTTATAGGATTCGTGTGACCTTTACCATTTTCTATTTAAATATGTTTTATTGTTAGATGGTAAAGTAATCTAAAACTAAGTAGTTGCTTTGTCACTTTTTTAAACCTCTAGGGAATTAAATTCCAAGAATTCTAGAGTTCCATTTCTAGAGTATTTGATAAATAATTACTTTTCAAGATCCTGAGAAGACCTCCACGTTGGGTGCAGATTTGTTTAGTTGTTTTTGTTTGTTTATGGTTTTTTTATTGCTCGATAGGCTTGCGCTTGACGACAATCAATGCTGGGAAGCACTAATGAGGTCTAGGTTAAAGCGCGCTTGTCTAGAAGATACCTATTCACTCTTGCTTTGAAGGTACTTATATCTTAGGTGGCAGGAAACGCGGATGCTGTAAGGGTGTTCCACACCTTAGCTGTTCGTTTCAGAAACACAGAACTAAAGCGTTTCGTGCGAGTTGGTTGGATTTCTACCACGTAAGGATGCCAGCGCTCACAACTTCTCGCAGTTATGTAATGAAAATAATCGTTTCGAAATCTATAAAAATATGATGGTAATTGCCATTTTTTTTATTTTCTATTCTTCAGGCTTAATTTTTCGACTTATTTTACTTAAAAACTTATTTGACTTTGTCGTATATAAAATTAACCCATTGTTAAAATTACCTACGTAGCTTACTACGTAGGGCTTACCCTATCTCTTATTTCTGAGTCGCAGCTACGAAGTATCACTACGACCATGACTGGCCTATTGTGATCACCGCATATTAGCTATAGTACCTAACCCACTAAACTCAGCCGCTCTGATAAACTGCAAGATTTGTTTAGGGTAGGTGGTAGGTACACTCCTTAATTTCATATTGAAAAATGAATTCTTCCTAGAAAATGTTTACCAAGTTCATAACTACGCTTATGCATAAGAGGTCCACACTCCCCAAGTAGATTTAGATACAATATTTCTTTGAAAAACGAAAAGGTAAGAAATATATTTATAGAAACACTTTAAATTCTAAAACAGATTCTAAAATCTGTTGGGAACTAAACAATGAGGATGGAAAAATATTTACCAAGCACTTGAAATTAGAAGATAAACTTTTAGCATCGGAGGGATTTAAATTACAAATATCCAAAAGTAGTATAAATCAAAGTCACTATTTTTTGTCTGTTTATTCGTTTAGTTCTTTAACTCTTTAAGTAACAAATTATTGTAAAACTTTTGCCATAATTTCAAAGACTTGTGTTGAAAAAGTTTATGTACACACGTTTGTAATATACTAGCAACTCGCTTCGCTCGGGTTCGTCCCTAATGAAAGACGAAAACAAAACTAACCCACGGGAACCGTAAATTTTTCCAGAATAAAAAGTAAATTATTTGTTATTCCAGACTATAATTTATCTCTGTACCAAATTTTATCTAGATCTGTTCAGCCGTTCTGACGTGATTGAGTAACAAACAACCATCCAAACTTTCGCATTTATAATATTATAATTAGAATAGCGAGGGCAAAACATTACACGTAGATCTAAATTACTTACTTAATTAGCCTCTGTATTCAGACTTATAAAACTCAAATTATCAGATACGGCTCGCGTGCCATACTGTGTTGAAGTAACATTAGCAGGAACTTTTGTTTGCATAGGATATTAACTGTTATTATCTAAAATTATGTAAATGACAAGGACATGAAGACGGAAGTGTTGATGCTTTTTAAAAAAATAAATAATTTGCACTGACATCGAAATTGTATCGGCTTTAGCTGAAGATTATCTAGTAAAAATAGTTTTTAACTTTGAAGTCGGTAAAATAGAGAATAAAGCCATAGTAATTAATAAAACAGTTGTACGTATAAAAAAGGACGTAACAAAACAGCTTTCAGGTTATAAAAGGTTAATTTTGAAATAATATTGTACTGTCCTGATTTTCCATTATAAGTGATTGTTATTGTATAGTTGTAAATGTACTATTCTCTTGAAATTTATAAAAGGTCAGAATTTCATTTTTGCATTAGTACGCTAGTGGTAAGTAACAAGATATATACTATTTGTTATAGGACTTCAGTCCAGAAATGTTGTTATTTTTAACTTTGTAATATTATAGTAAGTTTCAGCCTTTTTAATGAGATGAACTTAAAAACGCGTACAAAAAAATAACACAGATTATTGTTATTTTATCATATACTAATCAAAAATTAAGATATACAATTTTTAAAGAATACGTAGTATGAAAAAATAATAATAATCTGTTGATTTTCTGGTTAAATCAATGATTTAACTTAAATTCTTCGTCTAAAGAACGAGTTAAACGGTTTTGCTAATTTTTAGGTAGGTTATAGTTATGGGATTATCTAGACGATTCCTAGATATAGTTGGGTCCGTAAGTGACGCTTTCTTCAGTTTAAGATTCTTTTTTTAGTTATCCGACCAAATCCTTTCTTTATATTTTTTTATTTCTCACATAAAAATACGTATAACTCAAACTTTTCAGTCCCTGGCAGGAAATAGTTACATTTAACTTTTACGAAAAATGGCTATAAATAAATTGTCAATGGTCATTAAATAAATAAAAAAACCTATGACTTTATACTTAAAAGTTAAACTTGAATGTTAAAAAACTGATAAAAAGGATAGTTCGTAGCTGTGTTGTGCTACTATTGAGAACGAAACAAGCTTTATAGTAAAACCTACTGCATGAGTGTTTAATATCCATTATACTTAACTTTATATTTGTTTATTCAAAACCACTCGCTAAAAATATAATTCATTCCATACTTTAGCTAAGTACTTTCGTATTAACAAAATGGAGCTAACGTAGAATAACGAGTGCAGAGTATAGTAAAGGACGCATGATATTTACGAAAGAATAGAATACGTTATAATTTTGAAACTTTTTAAAGTCCTTTTAAGTAATGATGGCCACAACGGCAATTTCAATGAGATTTCTACAGAAGCTATTATAATGCATAAGTATGTGTACGTGAGTGCGTGCGCGCGTGCGCGTGCGCGTGCCCGTGTGCGTGTAGAATGTATTGCAATGTAATTCCTTTCATCCTCAATATCTGGTTGAATGAAAATTTGCCCCAGTCAATGAAAGTTAAAGAAATGGTCAGACCGCTGTACGTGTTTTACTAAACATGGGGACTTGCCGGGCCTGGGCGGAAACCATATTCTCAACTCTGCTATTAGAGACTGAGATTTGACAAAACCACAATAACTTATATATACTTGCTTGGTCTGACCTTCCAAGCTTTCCAAAGTTCCTGCTACGAATCTACGGTATACGACAGTCACTAGACTAACGAGACAGTCAAAATTGGAAACGGAAACTTTATATTGACTGACCTACTCACAAAATGTATTCAGTAAGCGAGATAATATTATTATGTTGCTAAATAAAATCTATGTAGAAGGGATAAGTTTTAAACAAAAGTTGTCTTTACGTATAATTTTCGACCAATTAAAAAATGAAAGTTATGTTTTTCATTGATTTTGCGTCGTTTGCGTATTAAAAAAAATTGCTTTCCTGAAATAATGGTTGTAAGTGGTTGTGTCGCCTAACTTTCTGATTATAAATCATTTATACTTTATTTAACCATACTTACATGCATATACATACTTATGTCAAAATAATATATATATATATATATATATATATATATATATATATATATATATCTATAAATCAATTGCTGTTCGTTAGTCTCGTTAAAACTCAAAAACGGCTGGACTGATTTAAATAATTCTTTTTTGTGTATCAGGGGGGAAAAAGCTCGAAAAGTATTGAACTGATTATTTTGTATGAGAATCACTAACCGATGAAACGTACCTCGGGACGAACTCAAGCGAAGCGAAGGTGTCAGTAGTGATACAATATAAATTGATAATTTTCAACATTTTAAATCAACACTATACATTTTTTCTACAATAATCTTTAATCTATCAAAAAAAAACAATATTCATATATACTTTTACATGCACTTTTGAATTATCAACTTAATTCAAAGAGAGTTAGTTAATATATTGTATATATAATTAAGAGTTAGTTAATATATTATATATATATATATATATTATAATTAGTTCTCGAGGAAGCTACAAACATTTCAGGCTCAGTTCTGATCATATCTAAGCTGCTGTCCTAACCACAACAAATAAAACCATTGCTTTTTTACTACCGAACAAAAAAAAAACTACGAATTAAATCTACAAGAGAAATGTCACAAGTTGCCCCTAAAATTTGAAGTGTACTTCAAGACAAAGGATAACTAAGTCAGGAATGGAAAGGAACCTTGCTAATACATGGATCGCTGTAGAAATCAGGTTCAGTGCACTCACAAAGCGAATGCCGTCTCCCATACGAAGCAGGCCCTTTGGAATACTAATGTACCCAACACGGCGCCGGCAAATGATCAGATAATGATTGGTCTATCGAT